TAAATTCTTTCCTAACAGAGCTGCACCTGTTATATATCGTCATACACATCGTGGGGAATTGAATTTGGTATTGGAGGGAGCTCAATAAGCTAAGATAAATTGCAAGTTTTTGGTAATAATTACTATATGGCATTTAAGAACTAGGGATCCAAATGCATAAATTGATTGCAGGTTCAGGTTTAATATTCGAAGATTACGTGATAATATAACTCTTCTGCCTTCAAATTTATTCTATTGATATCACACTTCATATGTGATAATATAACTCTTCTGCCTTCAAATTTATTCTATTGATATCACACTTCATATGATCAATAAAATTTAAAAAATTCACTCAAGATGTTCTTTAATCATTAATGTTCTCTTTTGATCGTCTGGATTCATCCACTCGATTTATATTCCTTTATTATATTTATTTTCGTATGATTATGCATTCATATTTAGTATTATGAATTAGACGGGATGGAAAGAGTGGGTCCAATCAGAACAGTTGCCCCCGGCGGAATTTTAGAACTTTTTTTTTTTTTTTTTTCAATTTTAACTTTAAAAAAAATAAAGCAAACTGGGTATGCCAACGATGTTCAATGCATGGACCAAAAAAAGAACGTTGAACCTCAATCTTGAGGGCTTCCACCATTCCGTCCTTGGAGCATCGTGATAGAGGAAAATCGTGAGATGTGCCCCAATAGTTTAGGGAACAAGAGCTTGTCTGTACACTGGTGCCCACAAAGAGTCAAATTCCATATATCAGGAATCGAAATCTCGTACTGCGATTGCCAACAAGATTGAGACTACCTCACTCCTATCCTTTGCACTACTGGGCTAGTGTTAAGCATAGTGATGCTACTCAAATGAAATGGTATCACCACGAGAAAAATTGTTTTTTACGACTAATGTTTCAACGATAAAATCAATTTGATCGTTAAAAATTATTTCTAAATTATAACTTTGGTCGTAAAAAATGGATAATGAACAATTGAATTTTAAATTAGTTGAAAATATCTTATAACAACCAAAAAAATAGTTTTTAATTCTATATTTTTTACGACCAAAGTAAAATTGGTCGTTGTGAGTGAGTGCCAAATCAAAAATTCTTGCCAAAATACCTGTTCATATTCAATGACAACATAATCGATTGTTAAAAACTCAAATAATACAGTAAATATTCAACGATCATAATGCCTGTATGATGTTTTTAGTTGTTATGCACTGCTTTGGATCTTGAAATAGAATGTAAATTTTAGCAACTAGTGACTGAAAAATGATGATTGATTGCTAGATATGACTAATGGGAAGTAATCTGTTAGCTTTCTCCTCTTTGTTTTTTTGAAAAAAAAATGTTGAATCCCAACCTTGAGAGCCTCCATGCACCCCGCCCCTAGAGCTTTGTGAAGGAGGTAAATCGCGGGATGTGCCCCAACAGGTCCGGGAATAAGAGCTCCCTGTACACTGCGCCTACAAGGAGTCCAATTCCATGTTTCAGGAATCGAACCTCCACACTGCGGCTGCCAGCAAGGCGTGAGATAACCTCACTTCTGTCCTTTACACCACTAGGCTATGCTTCGGGAGGCAAACTCTTTGTTTTTTCATTATATGTGTGTGGGTGGTGGGGAGTTTTTGTCTGGTATTAATGTGTATGAACCTGGGATTGTTCAAAATAGTCACTGGCTCCGAGTAACCTTAGGATAGGGCTGACGTTGATTGTATTTCTAGTAACTGTCTCAATAAGCATAACTTGTTCTTCCTTTAGAACACTAACTTGAATTCTTTGTAGGCATTGAATGCATTGCGCAGCTTCTGCCCATGCTTTTCTAAAATGGATGGAAGTAGAAAAGAAGCCCCAAACATAGGTCAGTTATTCCTCTGTTACACTAGCAATTGCGAATTTTTCACTTGGAGTGACATTTCGCCCCAACATCTGGTTATCATTACAAGATGAAGGTCAGTCGAGTCGTGTTAAAGACGAATATGGATCAAGATGCATTTCTTCGGGAAAATCTCAACCTGAACATCCAATTGAAGATTTGTCGAGCATGTTCAAACATTTTCCTCAAATTATTGAACAAAAGGATGTCGAAATATTCCTCAATATAACCATCCGCAAGAGAAAAGGAAATATGGAAGAGAATGGGAAACAAAGGGGAAGAGATTTGGGAATGTATTCTACCTATGTACCTAACGAGAAGAATTAGCTTTTAATTTTATGTTCATGTAATAAGAACTAGACTTCAAGTTGAATTGTTGTGTATTATTGATGTTAGCGTTTTAGTTGTTGATAGCCTTAATGTAATGAATTGTGTTGTTGAAATGTGATTTGGTACCCAACATTTTACTTTCCAAATGTGAATTTAAGTGAGCCTCTCTAGGGTTTATCTTGATTTCCCTACCACAGCAAGTTCAAGCGAGCAACAAGAAGTTTTGCATTTGTGTTGTTACGCTGTTTCATTACCGACCTTGTATTTTGCTAGTCTATAATAACCAATTTAAACTTAAATATCAAAGCATGTAGCATGTCTATTGGATATCCAACTAAAACAAAACTGGAATGTTTCGAGTTGGAGCATAAAAAAGCAAGTAAAATGTTTCCACATTTAATTCTATTCTTAAATGGATAACTCAACACTAAGCCTAAGACATGTTCTGAAAATGTACATTATTGAACAAAGGATAAAAGATGGGTCTGCATTGCAACAAGAACTCACTTAGTAATCTGTACATGATTCTGACTTCAAATTAACACTTAAAAATGATAAGGATGTGTAGCATTTTATAAAAATCAGTCCGAAAATAGAGGCTGCAGATTGAGACACCATCTATAAATCCTAGCATCTGCCATTGATGCTCTAGAACACTCTTCGAGTTCAATTTGCTCAGTCACCAACTCTTCTTGAAACAGTTGTGCACCGTCATTACCATCACCCATAGGCACGAAAGCTGATGGCCCATTATTCATACGACTAGTGTTAGATTGAATCCCGACACCACGGATGGGCATGAAATGGAAAGTTTATTGTTCTTCCCTTATAGCATGATACTCAAATAAAATGATAATGGAAGAACTTAAACATGTCTCCTTTATGTCCTCACCAAGTTGCCCGCCTAATTCTACAAATGTAAAATTTATATAATCGAATGTTATTAGAAGAAAAATTCAACCCGAGTAAAATTTCAGCATTACGCTTATGCCACTGTAAATGAAAACAATGGAAGGGCACTCTTTTACTAGTTTTATGAAGCCACAACTCTTCTAGATGAAAAATCTTTAGGATGCATTTGATTGAAAACATGGAATTTATATGGAAAGAAAATAAATTCTAGGTAATTCAATTGCCTAAAACTTATTTGCAAGTAAATTGTCAATTAAATGTGTTTGATTGATAAAAAATTTCAAACTAAAAAATATTATACTTGTCTGATTTTTTTTAGTGGATAGATGAGAGAGGGGAATTCCCTAGAAAATAAAATCATACTCCCCTAAAAAAATATTTTCCTTGATTTTGAGAAAAATATGGTCACGTGACCAAAAGCAGGACAATGTTTTCCACGGAAAAATGTCAATTAAACAGTATAAAAGTAAAAAATTTAGTGGAAAAACACATTTTTCATAAAAAAAATATTGACAATCAAATGTACCCTTGATACTATGGCTCAATGGTGGTGAGAAAACACACACATATGAAATACTTGTTTCCATTTTCTTAGCCAAAACAAAGAAATCTATATACAATGAATTAATTATACGGTTGTGCTACTTGCACAAGGTCTGTTGCACAGACTCTGTACAGGTACTCACACATGGGGTAGACCTGTCTACCCCATGTGTGAGTACCTGTACAGAGTCTGTGCAACAGACCTTGTGTAGGAGGTATTTACCTTAATTATATATACACGACAAATATACAGAAATGACATAAAAAAAGAGAACAAAAAAAAAAAANGTTGACCAAAAATTTAACTTTGACCACATTTTTAATATTTTAAACAGGGGTAAAAGAGTAAATTTTCATTTATCACATTATATGGTAATTAAACTAGAAAATGAAAAATAAAAAACACAACCCATCTTCTTCCTCTCCACCACCCCCACACCTAATCCAAATCCAAAATCTGTTGCCATTTGTTTTTTCACGCCCTGGAGTGAGTTGTGTGTGGGTCTAGGCTAAATTTGAACATATATTTTCTTTTCATTCTGTTTTCCCATTGTGCGATGGGTTTCCTGTAGAGGTTGCAGAGGGAGAAGGGCATGACAGAATTCTTGGAGGAGGTGGGTAGGGTTAAGCAATTCTTGAATGACCTGCGTTTCATTGAGGCGGGGGAGAATGCTATGGTTCAGGTCATGGTACAGAAGGTGGTTGTCATCCCTACCCCGCCTCCGCCGCTACCTAAATTTCAAGTTGTGGGGGTTGAATGTGGAGATGGTAAGGAGTGGGGAGAGGAATCGGCGTTGGCCCAAGTGAAAAGGGTAGCTTTGCAAAAGCAAGTCGCTGTGGTGTCAATAGTGGCCGAGGATCGTGCAGGAAAATTGCAGCAGAAGGTTCCGACAATGGGACCTACAGGAAGGTGGTTGTTGAGGAGTCGACATCCGGTTGTAGTGGCGGTGGGTGGTTGTGGTCGTGTGGATTTTGGATTTGGATTTGGATTGGGGGTGGGGGTGGGGGTGGGGGAGAGGAAGAAGAAGGGTAGTTTTTTTTATTTTTTATTTTCTAATTTAATTACTATATAATGTGATAAATGAAAATTTACTCTTTTACCCCCTGTTTAAAATATTAAAAGTGTGGTCAAAGTTAAATTTTTGGTTAACTAACGATATTATGGATGAAAACCGTCAAAAAGGGTTTCACCTGTAACATTTGGAAAGTTTAGGGGGACGGTTGCAACAAATCAAGGATTTGGGGAAAGTCTGTCAATGTTTCAAAGGTTTGGAGCTTCTCTGCAATTTTCCCTAATTTTTAATAAATAACTAGAGTATATAATAAATGGCACTATCTCCATCATTTTGATAAGCCTGTCTCAGGTAGATTGTCAACACATACATATTTAGCTGCTATCTGCCGCCGCCACCGCCGCCGCCAACAATGGACAGCGGTGAAGACCCAAACAAGCTCACCTCCACCCTCGATGACCCTACAACCACCCAACCCCTCCTCAACCACCCCTACCCTACACTTGACCCACCCCCTACAGCCTGCACCTCTGAAGCAGACGACGACCGAACACAGTACCTCCAGATCTCCTACAACTATGGCCCTCGATCGATAAAGGACATCCCTTTTCTCGTCCTCTTTTCACTTCTTGTCTTTTGCACTTTTGGCTTTGGTATTTTTGCGTCTGTTCGTAGAAACCCCCACCACGACCAAGTATCTTCTTTTGTTTATAATGCTACCTCCTCTTCTTGCACTCTTCTTCGAGATTTTCGCAATCCCATTTCTCCAACTCCCTCAAAACCCGATCTTTTTAGTACTTTGAGTGAAAATTTTACTTTTTTAGATAGTCCTACTTCCTTAAATTACTCAGAATTCAGTCTTCCGAAGAGAATGATTTGGAATTCCTCGATTTCTGTCAAACCCATTCCTTTAACTTCCTCGAAAGCTGTTGTTTTTAATGGTTTTATGGAAGATTTGTTTTTTCTAAACAATCCAACATCTTTGAAATTTTCAAAATCCAGTCTTTTAGAGAGCTTGGTATGGGTTCTTGTAATAACTCTGGTTCTTAGTGTGCCCTTTGTTTCAGTTGTGCTTTTGTTGCTTAAACACTACACAAAACAGATAGTGTATGCTTCACTTCCTTTCTTTGTAGTTATCCCTGTGTTTATCAATGTGTACTGGTTTGTTGCTTGTACAGTAAGCTCCAGCTGCAGTGATGTGTTTCCCTTAGCTTATCGGATAGTAGTTCTCATTTTTGTATTCTTGATTATCGGGGTGATTGTGTGGATTTTTATAGTGAATTGGCATAGAATTGAGTTGACCGTGAGTATAATTGGGGTAGCTTCCAATGCACTGTCGAAAAACTTAGGATTGTTTGGGATTCTTCCAGCATTAACTTTGGGTTTGTTTGTGTATTATGCCCCCATTGTTGTGTTTCTAATACTTGCAAGGTTAAATGGGAAAATTGTGGCAAAAGAAAATCATGGAGAATACTACTGTGTTTGGAAACAAGATAGTTGGGTGCCCGCATACTACACATTAGCAATTTTAACGATGCTGTGGTCTGCCACTGCTATGGTGGAAGCTCAGGTTTATGTGATAAGTGGGACAGTTGCTCAATGGTACTTCTCTAAGGATGACGTTGGCCCTAGGCGGGGAATAAGGAGTTCCTTGAGGTGATTTTCCGACACTTATTTTCATTAATTAATTTTGATGAACTCACAATGTTATATAAAGTTTGTGTTAGAGCAAGATGATATTCCTGCACTACTTTCTTTAAATAGCCAATAATTTTTTTTTCTTTGAAGCACATTTGTTGAGATTTTCTTTGTTAGATTATCAGTGGAAATTTGATAGAGTGTTGTTGGTTGTGCTCAATTAAAAAGTGAACTGCAGAATGTGTTTGAATTGTTGCCTCAGGCATGTCCTCGCTAAACTTCTAGAAGATGGTCATTCATTTGCTTTGTCGACAAGGAGAAAAATGATGGGAGGTACCTTTGAAATAATTTTGTGAGCTAATGACTATGTTTGAATCAAATTATTGGAAAAAGGACTCGAAAGAGATGTAATTTGTAGAATCAGAGTAGGTTGACGAAATTGAGAAGTACGGCAAGCTTCTCTACAATTTTAAGGTACTTGTCAAGTTAAAAGCGGGTCCTACAGGACCTTTGTTAGGCCAATTATATTAAAGGACATTTGATAACATGAACATAGCAGAAAAGATTAATATGGTAAGATAAATCCATATTCAAATTAGATTATATGATGGAAAGATTGAGGGCATGCATTAAAAAACGAAGGTGCCACAAAGAGAGGATAAAATTAAGGGTACAAGGACTTAAACAATTAAGGCATGTCTTCCATAGACTTGATGAAGCTCCACTTACTCGAATGATCCCCAGTAGAAAAGTTAGAAAAAGGACTGGACGAAAATTAACACGACTTTGTTTGAATGTTTTAATACGGTGTTGGTGGTGGAAAAAAGCTACAGGTTGAAAGAGCCAAGCCAATTTGCTTAGTCAATCAAAATCTATCATTAAACTTAAGCTAATTTTGTGACTTCTCATGATGGATTATATACAGGGTTATGTGTAAAGATGCATGTACTTCTCCTAAACATGAGGTGTCAGTAGTATGGGCATCATTATGATGGCTTATGCACTGTACTTGTGAAACTGTTAGAACAAAAAAGAGAAAAAGAAAGAAATCATAACGGAGGAATATTTGGTGTTGATTACCTTAAGATCGTAACCTATATGATGTCTTGAGTCATATTAGTAGATGGTTTCTCAACGTATTAAACAAATTTTGTGTTTCCCAGCTCCTGAATGCTAGGATTGTGCATGTTCTTACATTTCTAGGATCAAAAGTAATGCTTGGATGCTAACCAGATTCCAAATCCAATTAAGATGTGACAAGTCGGCTATTTTATGTAGCATGTATAAAAATTTTAATTGGTATTACGTTATCTCTCTGTGTGCATCTCAGGTAGATGTTTTTGTACTTGAGTGCTGCTATTCTGGCACGCCTCTGCATTTACTGACCTTTCTGAGAACATTTGCAGAAATGCATTTGGCCCCTCCTCTGGCACAATATGCTTATCTGGATTACTTATGTGTATTGTACGTATTGTGCGCTCTATGGTTGACAATGCAAGACAAGAAGATGCACCTGGAATTGGAATTGTCAACCTTGTTCTTCGCTGCTGCGCCAATACCCTATTGTCTGCAGTCAACTTTCTGAACAAGTTCACTATAAACTTTGCAGCTATAACTGGTGAAGCATACTTCACTTCTGCACGAATGACTTATGAACTGCTAAAACGAAATCTTCTCTCGACTGTATTTGTGGAGACTGTTTCTACTCGACTACTTGCCGGGATCATTTTTGTTCTATCTGCAATATATGCAATACTGGTAATTCCTCCTTCTCAGCTTTACATTGTACTTTCTTTTTTTCCTGGATTGACTGAATTTTTTGTGACTATAGCATACGAGGATGAGAATTTCTGTGGCTTGGCCCCTCCTTGACAAGATGATGTGTAATTATACCATGAGTTACAAGTTAGATTATTTATTGAACCATATCCTTTTTAATCTATGCATGCCATTGCCTCTTGTGGCATGTCTTGTAAGGTGAATGGATTGTACTTGACAGCAGGAGCATGTTTGGCTATGCTTAAAAAGTTACTTTTCTGAAAAGTAAATTAGTAGTAATGCTTTTTAAAGTGAGTTAAGTTTAAAAAAAAAAAGGCAACACTGAAATGTTTAACAAAATAAGTAATTAAAAGTTTTAAGCACAGGCAGAAATGCAAAGAAAAGAAGTTCTTTTTACTGTGAAATCTTGTCTAGTGCTGCTTACCATATACACCCTTGGGATTTATGGAGTCTGAATCCTCTAAACGCTGTTAGGTTATCACTACCTGACAATGCTGAAAATCTTTAGTTTCACTGTTTGAAATTTTCTTGTCATCATCTGAGATAGAAGGGTTCAAGTATCACGAGTTTTGAATCTCAGCAACGACTCAAGGAGTTGGATGGTTGATCGATCTGCTTCAGTTTTAAAATAATCTGATAGTCGTGGAGTGCCTGTTCTCTCGGGTAACTTTGTGTAATTTTGGACACTGGTCCAATAGAATCTGTTTCCCCACCTTTTTACCAACGCCAGATATTATGTAATTTACATGTCTTTTTAATGCATGTCTGTGCAAAATGATTCATTTTGTGCATACTTATTCTTTGCCACATATTTAGAACATTTTATTCCGTTTCAGGTTCTTACGAATTTAATCATTGTTTTAAATAGAGACTGCTTTCTTCAATTGGCTTCACAACATTTGCTAACTTGTTTAGTGGAAATTGAGTTTCTTATGCAAATTAACGCTTTTAAGCATTTATAGGTAGATATTATCGTTTCACTTTCAGATGGGTTTCTTTTTGCATGGATTTGTTAGTTTATCTTTCTTTTCACTTATTTGTTCGGCCGGACAATTTAGCACATTTTTTCCTCTTGTATTTTGCAATTACAACTAAAAATTCTTGTTCCCTGATATGCAGGTCTGTGTTGTGTTAAAAGCCGCTATTCATCTTGGGGATGAAGCGTACTTGGTCTCTCTTATGGCGTGGGTACTGCTGATCGTGATTCTTGGTTTCTTCGTGCACGTGCTGGATAACGTCATTGAGACTGTGTACGTGTGCTATGCTATAGACAGGGACAGAGGTGAGGTCTGTAAACAAGAGGTTCATGAGGTTTATGTTCATCTCCCAATTAGTAGAAGTCACAGTCACAGGGCAGGTTTTGTTGACAGGACTCCACTTATTGTATGATTATTGTTTTAACAGAGGATTCATGTGCTGGATATTATATGAATTTTGTGTATCTGAGATTTTAGTCTATGCTTTTCGGCTTATTTTAATAAAAATGTTTATTCCTTTTTGTCACCATTGGCTGTGTTTCGATTTTAGTTCATTAAGACGATGTCTATCTACCTTTAGAATAAGATACTAGATAGATATTGAACAAATAGTTGGACAATTCGTGCAATTCACATCCTCATTGAAGATATTCTTTTCTTCATTCCCATTTTGCTTGTCACGTATACAATAATTTATATTATTGCATTGAAATGCTCTTAACGTCCCACTGCACCTCCAAATAAATGTCAATGAAAATTAAATGGGGTCCTCAACCTATTAATAATGTACCAAGTAGACCCTCAATCTATTATTTTGATGGCTGAAGTCCATAACATTAATTTTTGTTGCATTAGCATTAGTAGTTTTAGTTGGCTCTCATGCTGCTTCCTCGAGCATTGATACAGCGAGTTCATCGATTGAAGTGTATGTTAAGCTCTTTTACAAAAAAAGATATGGCTGAAACAATGGAATAGCGATTATGCTAATTCAAGATCGATTTCTTAATTCCACTTGTATTCAATGGACAATTTCACCTTTACAATTAAATAAAAACTCAAAATTTTATGAAAAGGACAATTTTGCGATTATATTTAAGGAAAATTTTCATTCCATTTTATTAAAAAGTTATAAAAACTTAAATAATTCCTCCATCCCACAAAGAGGAAAAATGCTTCACTCGAAGCTTTTATGGCTAAAATGGAAAGAGACTCGAGTCAATGAAATGAACAGGAAAAGTCAGTTAAGGACCCAAGGTTGCACGAGTCTATTAAGAATCTCAACGAGCAAGCCATCAAAAAATAAACATATATAACTGTTTCAGCATCAACAAAAACACAATACAAGATATTTCTGATCCATCCCATAAAAACATGAATGTCTTATCATACATGGACTAAAATTAAAGTATACAAAGTTTTAGAAATAAACAAGAAAACCAAGGATAAGAACCCCATCTTTGTCTATGAAGCTACTAGTTGATTATGAAGATACCGGGACTTAAATCTGAATTCACTTCTTTTGCTTAGCCTTTAATTTGGCAGAATTCGCCTCAGCAGCAGCCTTTGCAAGAGTGGTTGGCTTAAGGACGCCTTTTGGGTTCAGAGCCTTCCTTATCTTAAACACAGCCCAAGCTGTCCCAATAGCATGCCCTGCAGCACCCAACCCATTGTGCGTCACTTCTGCTGCTTGTTCTCCATATCTGTCACAACATACATCCAAATAAGAACAACGAATCCAGAAAGAAAATGAAGTTTCAGCGAGATACTTATACCTAGGTGTTGTAAGTAAAGGGTTACAAACACCTTCAGGTACTCAACTTCTCGCCAACCCCCCCTTTTTTTTAATTATTGAAGTACGAAGTTTGTCTTTTTCTGTTTCAATTTACTCAACCAATGGTGTTTATTTACCCCTCAAGAATATTACTAACAAACGACAAAAATTCCAGTACGCTTCGGCAGTAGCCAAAAGATGGAAAATCGGGAACTATGATTGGTCATACAACTGGAACATCTTTTGCAAGCAGTAATATAAATTACCTCTGAGAAACAAGCCCGGTTGTGACAACAGAAGTAGTCGACATAACATTCTTTCCAGAAACTTCGACAGCATCACAGACCCTGTCTGTTGGGACAGATCAGATATACAAACGTGTGAGTGGGCTAAGGTAAAAGAGTGATAATGATTTCGGCAACGTTGGAAAAAGAAAGTGCAAAACGAACAAAATAATGCAACAGAGAAAATTATAGAAACTAACAAACAGCCTTAGCACTGCATCTTAGATTTGTACTTCCCACAATCACATCATATCAGGGAGCCTAAAATAATTTTCATATTTCATAGGTATATCCTGTCTTGAATTTCAAGTTTCTAGTATAAAAATCATCTTTATAATGTCAGCATATTGATTTCATAAACTTTCCGATTCTTCACCAACCAAAATATGACAAGCAGATCATCAATGAGGGTTGTGTGTGTAAAATATCAACGTTCCACATGGTCTTTTTTTTCTTCCGCCTCCATGTGGAAGGGAAGGGGCACCAGTTTTTTATTCCAAAAGTGCAAAATTGGATGAATTGTAAAGATAGAGGCGAATACATCTACCTATGCTAAAGAAAGCGAAACAAGTTGTCAGGTGTACATGATCCTTCTGAAGTCTTCAGGCTCATTTGCACTGTGTGGCAGTCTTTTTTCCAAATAAAAAATACAAATTGTTGAGGTATGTTTGGTTTGGTTCATAATTGCTATTGGGATTGGATAAAGACTTAACCCGTAACAGACTCCTAAGGCATTTCCAAACTCTATTCCAATTGACTACACAGTTCGTGCTAACACAATTACGTAACTGTCCTCAACCCATTTAGAATGTTGGATAGCAGAGTACTCAAAATTAATACTGAAGCATAAATGAATTTTGAGGTTAAGGGTCAGTTAAACGAAAGAAAATACATACTGAATCCATCCAAGGAAGCAAGAATGATTTCTCCAGGAAGAAGGCTGAAAAATTTCTGTCCTACTTTAGAGTTTGCAACTGAACTTGTGAAGAACCCAGAGACTTTCACGACCCCAGACAGTAATCCGGTTGCCACGGACTCTGACATCTTTGTCAATTTCTTAACCCTGCAGATTTTGAACAATTAGATGCTCCGAAAATATACCTCACTATAAATAACATAAATGAAGATCAAGAGAAAAAGACCACAATATGGATTATTTCAATCCCTCGCCACATTTAAAATTAAATTGTAGGATACTACAATTGGCAATCAGGCCTTTTTGTATATCTGCACGATGTGCTAAGCATAATGCCGCGAATAAAAATACATTTGTCAAGCACAAGAACATTATATAAGATCAATCTACTATGTACAATAGCATAAAATTATATTGTTTAAATTGAAATTTTGCAAAAAAAAATTCAAATTAGAATACAACAATCTCTTATCCCAGTTCTTGGCTTCCAATTCTAGCATATCACCGACTATCTATATAATGGACCATGATACGGGAAGAAATCATGTAACAAGGGGATAATCATAAACCAAAAAAATATCACATTTGCACCTTCCCCGCCATAAGACAGGTGAAGATATCATAAAAAACCACGTCAAATGAAAACTACGATCCAAAATTGTATGTAATCAGATAATACTGAATGGTCAATCTTCAAACAGCAAATAGAATATACACAAGTATACATACAAAAGGTAAATTCCAACTGATCAATACAATAAAGTGTAAATGAATTACCTTTTCATTCTTCTCAATGCCTCAGGACTAATCTCCGAAGTCGATCCCTTTCCCATTCTCTTCTTCAAGAACTCATTCCCCCATCTGAGTCTATCTACAGTAACATCCCCACACCACAATATCCCCTTCACCACATGTCCCGACCCAGCCGCAATCATCCTCGCTAAACTTCCACTGTAGTCCTCAACATTTGGAGCTAACGTCGTCCAATAAGCAGCCGCGCTCTTCTCCACGTCATCCTTCTTTGTTTTCTCTTCCATATCCGCCGGAGAAACATCCTTCGCTGCCACCCACCACCCTTGCTCCACCCCTTCCGCTGCCTTCTCCACCTTAAATGCACTGTACTTCTCCAGAACCCCATCCAACTCCCTCAGCACTCTTTCCTGACCCTTAGCCGCAATCGTCAGCCCGTAATTTAATATACTATCACTGATTTCATGACTTTCACTCGGGACTCTCAGAGTAAAAAAGTAATGCGATTCATCAAGCTTCACCGCCGCCTCATCCCTCGCCAACGGCCACTGAATTTCCTCCCCAATTCGAGCCAAAACTGCCACAACATTATCCCCTTGTTTCAACTGAATTAATGTAAAATCCCCATTTGCAAGCTCAACGCTTTGTTCTTTATCTATCAAATGAACAATACAACCTGGGATTCTGACAATCACTTCCTCGGAAGACTCAAAAGAAGAAGAACCGCCTCGTGAAACGGCATCGTTATGGGTTTCTTGTTCTTCCGGTTCCGGGAAGAGATTTTCTGCTAAGCTTTCTATTTCAATTGAAGGGTAAATAGATGAAGAGGGATTTTTACGATTTGAAAGGAGTGGAGAAGCGGATTCTGGATTGGTTTGGATCACTTCTGGGTAAAGAGAATTGGGTTTTCTTGGATTTTCAGAAGCCATGATTTCTCGGATGATCGCTCTACTTTTCCTGTCTGGCTGATTATTTTTCAGGTTTATGAGAAGAGATTACGATACCCTATTCCTTTTATACACTTGCAAGGATAATCATAAACTTAAGATTTAAGCAAAGAGGAATCTTGGAACGTGTTCCTGCGAAGAGCTGGACGCCACGCGGCCTGATATGAACAAGGCGCGTAGTTATCGTGGAGGTGCTAAAGTAACTGAAACTTGGAGGAGGAAGTTTTCAAAGCTACCCATAAACTACTTTTCTTTTCTTTTCTTTTTCTTTTTCTTTTGCAAATTTTATTTTTTCCCTTCTGAAGACGTATTAATCTTTGAACTATTTAAAACCTCAATAAAATAATATAAAAATATATATATATTTAAAGGAATAATTAATATATCGATAAATAATTAATTATCAAATTCATTTCTAACCAATATTACAAAATTATGATATCGCGAACTTCTTGATTTCTTTTAATAAAAATGATGAGTTCCAATTGAGTATGAAGAAAAAGCAAGAAACTATATATACGGAATTGAAAAAACATAAAGTTTTCACGTAAAAAGTTAATAATATGAATAACAAATTTCAAGTATTTAATTAATTATTATTTAATATTTTCATTGGAATAATAAAATTATTATCTTTTGCATTTAATGATACTATTAATTTAGTAAACTAATCCAAATTAATATCCAAAAAAATTTATTACTCAAGCAATGTAATTAATTTATTTATCGAATATTCATTTATCAAGATTATAATGTAATAAATATGGAAGCAATCATTCTATTTTGTCAAAATGAAAATATGTGAAATAGTATTTTTCTGAAAAATGAGTGGTTGAAAAATGATGAAAAATTTTCGATTTACGTGTAATATTATTTTATGAAAGATTATGTGGTTAAAAATAGTAGAGAGAAAAATAGAATAAAAATTAATGCGAGTCAAACGGGGGGCGAAATGCTAGTGAACAGACTTGTCTTAAAAATTTGCCAAATGTGTGGAAAATGATAATGTTGCCCTTTAATTTAGACAAGCAAAAGTAAAATAAGAATAAATGAAAAGAGAAAATTGCATTTGGGATCCCTATTTCTAAAAACATAATAGCAAAGACTAAAACAAAACTAAATTAATTTTTTTCACAGCACACACCCTTACTCCACCCTCCCACAACCATCATTCCTCCCCACCAACATCATCACCGCCACTGTCACTGTCACTGCCACCACGTCTGCCACACCTTGATTAGTATCCCTAAACCCACCTTCATCTTCTCCAACCCAACCCCACAACTCAAATTCTTGAAAACAACTCTAGACCATCAATCTTCTTTGATAGTGGAGTAGAAGACTCTGAGCCCATTTTAAACATCAATATTCATTGAGTTCTGAATTTTCTAATATTAAACCTACACTACGCGCCATTTATACTTCACATTCCGGTTGGGATATGTGTCCAAAAGTATAAGACATTATTGTAACAAGATAAATATTTTCGAATGTTATTGAATAAAAAATAGATTTTTGTTTCTATAAAATAGAGTTGCATTATATTTAAGTATATGCATAAAGTGCATTTGATTGATGAGTAAAATTCAAAACTTGGTGGTTAGTATGAAAATATTATTTTGTATGTTGATCAAGACATTAATTGTCCATCATTGTAGAATAAGATGTAAGAAATTAAACCCCGATGCCGAGATCTTTAGAATTCATGATTTTCACATATGAAATCAAGAAACATACCTTAATCCATGACAATAGTTGAGAATTTTAGATCTACAAAATAAGAAAATATTAAATTAGAGAAATTGTTCTCTCACTTTCTCTCTCTATGATTGAATGAATTAATTGATGTATTTCATTCACATTTATAGACAGAGAGAGACAGTCTCCTATGAGCCATAAAACTCTCCACTTTTTATCAAAGTAGACAATTATAAAACTGCCACTTCTCAATTGGACCAATAGGATTTTAGTAATTTAATCACCTTTAATTAATTCTTTAATATTACATAGGCCACAAAATAATTGGTTTTACATTCTCCCACTTGGCCCGTGTAATATTGCTTCGTTATGTGGTATATAACATAATGCGCATACCATGAGCTAAAATCCATCATACATTAGCCACTTAATATATGATCCTTAAGTAAAGACTAATAAGAGTCATGGCGGTTTTACACCATCATATAAGCATAATTCCTTCCATGTACTACAATATTAGTCCCTACCTAACATGACACATAATGAGAAGTTCAATAATTGCATTACAATAATGTCTTCGAAAAGACTATCTCTGTCAGCATTCATATAATCCATTCACGTACATGTACCAACAGTTATGACAGGAATAATATTTTGTCAAAAACAATACATAAATGAGCGTAAAATGTCAATACATAAGCATCATAAATTGCATAATAATGTCAATGATAATTTTCAATAATGCCCATCCTTTTGACATGTTCATTGAATGTCTTTGGTGACAATCCTTTCGTTAATGGATCTGCAATCATAAGATTGGTGCTAATATGTTCGATTGATACCTCTTGTTTTTGAACTTTTTCTTTAACGGCAAAATACTTCAATTCCATGTGTTTAGCACCTTTAGAGTACTTGTCGTTCTTTGAAAAGAAGACTGCTGCAGAATTATCACAATAAAGTTTTAGCGGCTTGGCTATACTGTCGAAGATCCCAAGTCCTGAAATAAAGTTCTGCAGCCAATTTCCTTGAACTGGGGCCTCAAAGCATGCCACAAACTCAGCTTCCATAGTAGATACAGCAATGATTGACTGCTTTGCACTTTTCCATGAGATAGCCCCTCCAGCCAAGAAGAACAAATAGCCAAATGTGGACTTTCTAGTATCCACACATCCAGCAAAGTCCGAATCTGAATATCCAATGACCTCCAAGTTATCAGATCTCCTATAAGTGAGCATGTGATCTTTCGTTCCTTGCAAGTATCTCAATACTTTCTTTGCAACTTTCCAATGATCAAGTACCTGCCCAGCATTCCGACAACAAAACTGATGTCTGGCCTGGTGCAAGTCTGAGCATACATTAAGCTCCCAATAAGAGATGCATAAAGAATAGTTGTCAATTGTTTGCGTTCCAATTCATTTTTAGGACATTGCATGAGACTAAACTTATCTCCTTTCTGAATTGGAACAACACTCGCTGAACAATTTTTAATATTAAATCTCTCTAAAACTTTATTAATATATACTTTCTGAGACAACTCTAACAATCCTTGTGACCTATTACGAAATATTTCAATTCCAGTCACATAGGTTGTCTCTCCCATGTCTTTCATTTCAAAATTTTTAGAGAGAAATTTCTTAGCTCGTATAGTAGAACAAAATCATTAGTAGCTAGCAAGATATCATCAACATACAGAATCAGAAATATAAACTTGCTCCCACTGACCTTAGATATATACATCGATCAACGACGTTTTTCTTAAAACCAAAAGAAGTAATGGTATCGTTCAACTTAAGATACCATTGACGTGAAGCCTGTTTAAGTCCATATACCATGTATTCCTTTCCTTTAACTGAAAAACCTTCAGGTTGATCCGTATAAACTTTTTCATCTAAATTTCCATTTAGAAAGGCGATTTTCACATCCATTTGATGTAGTTCTAAGTCATAATGAGCTACTAAAGTCATTCTAATTCTGAGTTAGTCTTTCTTAGAGATTGGTGTCTCCTTATAATCAGTCCACTTTTCTGAGTAAAACCTTTAGCAACAAGTCTAGCTTTAAGTCATTCGATATTACCATTAGAGTCGTGCTTGGTCTTAAAAACCCATTTACATCCAACTCTTTTACATGATTTTGGTAATTCAACGAGATCCCAAACTTTATTATGTTCCATAGATTTCAACTCATCTTTCATAACATCTAATCACTTATCAGAATTAGGGCTCTCAATGGCCTGTGAAAATGAAACTGGATCATCATCAACAATTCCCAAGTCAAATTCAGACTCTTGTAGGTAAACCACATAATCATTAGAAATAGTATGTCTACGTTGTCTTTGTGACCTTCTTAATGCTATTTCTTGCGGTTCATTTAATGCAGGTTCATCGGTGGCAACTACATTGTGAGGTGTTTGATAATTTATTTGTTATTCGGTTAAATTGTCATGTCGTTCAACAATTTGAGGAACAACAACATTAGAAGAAGTTGAGGGTAGAGAAACTTGAACTCTAAATTCTTGTATTTCCACATTTCGTGGTTCAAAACTGCCACTAATTTCACCATTCTTAATGAACTTAGCATTTCTAGTTTCAACAATTCTAGTACTATGGTTAGGATAATAAAATATATACCCTTTTGATTTTTCTAGATAACCAATGAAAAATTCACTGATTGTTCTTGAGTCCAGTTTCTTTTCATGTGGATTATAAATTCTTGCTTCTGCCGGGTAACCCCAAATATGCAAGTGCCTTAAACTAGGTTTCCTTTCTGTCCACAGTTCAAAAGGAGTCTTTGAAATTGCCTTACTAGAAACCCTGTTTTGCATATACATAGCAGTATTTGATGTTAACATCCACAAAGATATGGGTAAAGAAGAATTGCTTAACATACACCTAACCATTTCTATTAAAGTACGATTACGCCTTTTAGCCACATCATTTTGTTGTGGTGTGCCTGGCATAGTGTATTAAGAACATATGTCATGTCTTTCAAGAAATTTAGCAAATGGACCAAGGTGTTGTCCAGTTTCATCATACTTTTCATAATATTCACCACCTCTATCAGATCTAATAGTTTTCACCTTTTCTATCTAATTGTCATTCAACTTCATTGACAAAAATCTTTAAAGCATTTACAGCTTGAGACTTTTCATGTAGTAGATAGACATAACCATAACGTGAAACATCATTGATAAAGGTGATAAAATACTTTTCCCCACCAAATGATGGAATATCAAAAGGCCCACATATATCGGTGCATATTATCTCAAGAAGCCGTGTGCTTCTTGTGGCTCCTTTCTTTGTGTGTTTAGTTTGTTTACTGTCACGTGTTTTCCACAACGTGAGATTATACCACAAGTGTACGGTGTCAAGTTTTGTAATATAGTATTGAAGTAAGAGTGTCAAACCCACAGAGATTGTATCTAATTTTCACTAAGTACTATAATTATGCAATTTCTACTTTATTTAGATGAATATA